AGAAGTCCTTTTACAGTCATTGTCATTGGAGGGTATTGTCTTGCTACACATTTCAAGTACATTTAGGATTTCGTACCCAGTTTGCTGTGAAGAATGCTTTCTGTTTCTTCCTTTCCCAGTGGAAGTGGTTCAGTGTCCGAGGCAGCTGAGACGGCCTGTGCTCGATCGGGGAGGGCGTGAAGGGAAAGCGCCCTCCTCCTGCTCTTCTCCCATGAGCTGCTTTGACACGCTGGGCTTCCAGTAGCTTCTTACATCCTCAGGAAGGAGAGGGGCGGGCTGATGGATTCCTGCGGGCTCTGCCTGAGCATCCCGGGGCCTGGGTGATGGATCAGTAATGGCCAGTGATAGGTGACTGTTGAAAAATAATGTTTAATGAGATTGGATATGTGGAAGACGTAACAAAAGGAAATAGTATCTCTGTCACAAAAGTCAAACTAAACATCTTTTTTCCACCCTTTGATGTTATAGTTTGTTATATAGAGTGTGGCCTTAGGGGTCGGGAGAACTGGGAACTGGGCTTTGGTGGTTATGTTCCACTTTATTTAGCTTTGTGACCCGGAAACTGCCAGATGTAGTTTACACATCTAAAAATAGCCCTAACACGCATCTCACAGAGTACTTGGGAGGGTGAAAAGACACAGATCGGGCTGGGGTGGGTGACACAGGGTGGTGGTGCGGGGTGACGAGGGGAGGGGTGGATGGGGGATTATTCTAAGTTGCTTCTGGACCCCAAACTCTGTTATTCTGTGAATCTGTGATCTATGGGAAGAGTGGGACACACAGGGGAGTTGTGTAAGTGCTATTAATGGTGTTTAAATTATTTGATAATATGAACTCCTAGAGAAATACACAGCTAGAGCGAAGGCAATTATGCTGTTTGATCCAGGGATTAAAAGGGTTTATGTGGCATAGAGCCTAGGACAGGGTCAGGGTCGCCACTCCATGAAAGTCAGCCCCACCATCATTCCAGAAAGTACACTTCCAATAAAAGATGCCAATGACTTTTAAAGCAGACCTCCAGGAGCAAATCTATAATTCTACCAAAGGCAGGGATGAATCCGCTTGTTGCTGTTGTTCATTTTAACGCCTTATTAAACATCAACACATTGATTTGGCCTGCCTAAATTTGCCAATTTCAAGGGCATGCCACAGGGTTCTTTTTAAAAATGACTTAAAATCCTCACCGTCAATTTGAGAGGGGTTTATGTTTGTGATGGTGCACACTATGTCTTCAAAACTCCCAAGACTGATTCCTGAAGCTGTGTGTTCATGCTCTGTAGCAGTATGTTAGTGTTGAAAGAAATGGTAAAAACAAAGCCACAGTGGGGATGTTAAGCTCTCCTTTCTTGTTACATATTATTGTAGATAGAGCTGTGTGAATGATGCAGTGATTTTTTGTTTTCATATGTTCTTTTTATATAACAAATATTTATAACCATTAGTTCGGAGCTTCCCACAAGACTAATGAAAGAATTGAAATGAAATATTTTTAAAATGTAACTAACAAATAACCTAAAGTTAAATGACATCTTTAGCTATTAGCAAAAGGGAGTAGATAAATACCAAGCCTGCTACTGTATTGATTACCCAAGAAATTCAGGAGAAATTAAATGTTTTCACCTATGGTTTCTAAGTAAGTGCTTCAATTCTTCATTTAAATCTTCTAAGATACACCTGCACTCTTAGAAGAAAGTACTTAGTATGTGGTAATCACATCTTCTGGGTCATCAATTCATTCATGATGAATTCTCCCTTGCTGTTCTATGCTGTGCTAGAAGACAAGGGAAAATGCATTCACCCCAATTTTTGAGCAGCTTATTTCTCCCAAGAAATTAAAATTTGTGTTTACTTTGGCAGCTGTCATAACCATGGTCTGTACCCCAGCTTGGTTACTATGGAAACCCAACTTACAAACACTGTTAATATCAATGCATTAATCATAAAGCTCAGTTCTACTTCCCTGGGTCATGATCTCATACCGAAGAATTAAATGATTTATCTGACTACCTGGATACTCACCAATTGAACCATAAGTAAAATGACCTATTATAATGACTATCTTTTTACCTTGATGACTTTTATTAGCATTTGATCAGAAAGGTCAGCTGTATTTGAAGATTCTCCTGGTCTCACATTTTAGCAGAATCATTGTGTTAATTAGTGTTCAACACTCCATTAAATCCCCCAAGCCGCCAAGAACCAACCAATGTCTGTTGAGGCTCTATAGGTGTGTTCTAGGCACTGTGAGGACACCTAATAGAAGGTACTGATTGGCCCTAAAGACTGACTGTTAAATGAGTGATAAAGATTTTATATTTTACTCCAATGACAATTAGCCTTTAAGCTCCAAATCTATGAAATGATACTCTGCATATAAAATATGTCAGAAAAATAAATAAACCTATAATTACAGGACAAAATTTCAAATCACATAGTGTAGGCAGTTTGGGATATGTTTACGTGTATATTTTATTATGTTCTTTAGCTTTGGGCCTTTTTATGGCCTTCTGTTATTAATATGTGCTGAATGAAGGAAACTTGGGAATATCATTTGTCAGTTGTTGCTCAAGGCTAGCATTCAAAATGGAAATAATATCTTTATTGGGGATATAAATATTTAATCAGATGCTTTTCATAATGGCTTCTTAGTCTATCAAGATCATTATAACTGAACAACAGAAAAGAAAAAGAAATAAAAGGCATCTGTATTGGAAAGGAAGACGTAAAACTTTCTCTGGTTGCAGATGACATGATCATGTATGTAGAAAACCCTAAAAAATCCACCCCTCAAAAACTATTAGACCTCATAAATGAGTTCAGCAAGAATGCAGGGTACCAGATCAATCTAGAAAAATCTATTGTATATCTATTAGTGAAAAATCAATCCCAGATGAAATTAAGAAGACAATTCCTTTTATAATCACATCAAAAATAATAAAAGGAGTGTAAGACTTATACACTGAACACTACAAAACATCAATGAAACAAATTAAAGAACTAAATAAGTAGAAAGACATCCCCTGTCATGGATTAATATTATTAAGATGGCAGTAGCCCCCAGGTTGACCCACAGTTTTTAGCACTATCCCTCTCAAAATCTCAACTGCCTTTTTTGCAGAATTGACCAGCTGATCCTAAAATTCATGTGGAAATGCAAGGGATCCAGAATAGTTAGACAATCTTGAAAAAGAAGAACAAAGTTGGAGGGACTCATTGTTACTGATTTTAAAACTTATCACAGAGCAATAGTAATCAAGACTGTGGTCCTGGCATGAGGATCGATGGAATAGAATTGGGAGTCCAGAAATAAACCCACACATTTATGGTTAGTGGGTTTTCATTTCACAGTTAAACGGAGAAAGAATAAATAGTCTTTTCAACAAATGGTGTTGGGACAAATGAATATTCACATGTAAAAAATGAAGTTATATCACTAGCTCACACCATACCCAAAATTAACTCAAAATGAATCAAAGACCTAAATGTTAGCACTAAAACTATAAAACTCTTAGGAGAGAACATAAGTGTATATCTTTGTGACCTTGGGTTAAGCAGTGGTTTCTTAGATATGATATTAAAAGCACAAGCAACCAAAGGACTCCAAATTGTACTCCATCAAAATTAAAAACTTTTCTTCTTCAAAGGATGCTATCAAAGAAAGTAAAAAAAGACAACTCATAGAATGAGAGAATATATTTACAGATCATATATTTGCAAATCTAGACTAAATATAGAACCCATAAAACTCAACAATAAAAGGACAAATAGCCCAATTTTAAAACGGGCAGAGGATTTGAATAGACATTCCTCTAAAGTAAATATACAAATGGCCAATAGGCAATAAGTGCATGAAATATGCACACCGTCATTAGTCATCAGGGAAAAGCAAATCTGAACCTCGGTGAGACACCACTTCACATCCATCAGGATGGCCGTAATTAAAAAACAAACCAGGCAATAACAAGTGGGGGCAAGGATGTGGAGAAGCTGGAAGTCTCATACTTTGCTAGTGGAAATATAAAACGGTGCAGCTGTATTAAAAAGAGTTTGGCAGTTCTTCAAAAAATTAAACACAGAGTTATCGTATGATCCAGCAGTTTCACTCCCAGGGTATACTCCAGATGAATCAAAAACATATGTCCACATAAAAACTTATACACAAATGTTTGTAGCATCATTTTTGTAGCCAAAAAGTGGAAACAATTCAAATGTCCATCTACTGATGAATATATAAACAAAATGTGGTCTAGCCATACACTGTAATATTATTCAGCCATGTGAAGGAATGAAGCACTTACTGATTCCTACTACGACACTGATGAACCTCGAAAACATTATGCTCAGTGAAGGAAGCCAGACACGAAAGGCCACATACTTTATGATTCCGTTTATAAGTGATGTCTAGAGTGATACGGGCAAACCCAGAGGGACAGAAAGTAGATAAATGGTTTCAAGGGGCCAAAGTAGTGAAGGCAATGAAAAGCCACTGCTAATGGGTACAGCTTCTTTTGGGGTGACCAAGTGTTCTGGAATTAGATAGCGGGGATGGTTCACAACTTTGTGAATATTCTAAATGGTCCAGTTTTAAAGGGCGAATTTTATTGTATGCAAATTGTGTCTCAACTTTTAAAATTACTGTGTTTTCCCTTGAGCACTCTATACTTAAGTTCTAACAAAGCATAATATAACTTGCAAAAAATATCATCATTAAAGCACTTATTTATATACTTTATTCCTAAGGGAAAAAAAGTTCCACGACCAACCTTATAGGTGGAGATTTGACCAGCTCTTGGAATTAGTGTAGGCAGCGAGACAGCCCAGCTTTTCCCTCGAGCTACACTGTGAAGGCAAAGACGAGCTCGTCGCTTCCATTCTCCCGTCAAGTTCACGCAGATCCTTCGCGTTTCAGCCGATCAGAAATTTACTGTGGTGAAGTTGCGGGAAGCATCGTGCGTGCCTCAACCCCCGAGTTTCACGTTTCCTCTCTCGTTCCTTCCCAGGTGCTGCCCTTCCCGAGCCAGGTGGTGTACAACAGGGTAGGCAAGTGCGGGAGTCGCACTGTGGTCTTGCTTCTGAGAATCTTGTCGGAGAAGCACGGATTTAATTTGGTCACGTCAGACATTCACAACAAAACCAGGCTTACTAAAAATGAACAAGTAAGTTGTCCTTGGCCTCGGCGAAACTGTGCTTTGCTTCCGTTCATTTGTGTAATTAGCGGGTGCCTGTGGCACATCCTTCAAACCCGTGACGGATGGGTACCACAGTTGCAATTTCCTACTGTATTTTTGCCAGAGTGTGGAAGGAAGTTTCAGTTAAGTGCTCTGGTCTTTAAGCCGGGAAGTTTCCCAGAAGGGATACTTTTGTTAGACCGAAGGACGGTGTACACCTGTCGTTGTCTATTTAGCTAAAAGTAGCAGTGCATCGATCTCAAGTAGTCGCACCGCTGAGCTACAAATAATGCTGACATCCTGACAGCAAAAATAAGAAAACTTTATTTTAACATTTCTTCTTCTGTGTTTGCTCACAAGTATCCCAGGTCTTTATGGTTATAATAAGAGAAAAACCTTTTTTTGGACCAGAAATCTGATTGGTTGATGGGGACATAAGCTTCCTGTTATGATCAGCTCAGGGCATCTTGAGCTTCCAAAGCAGCTTTCGGCATATTCAGCAAAAGAAGGATCCCATTTCTCAGGAACAATCCTGCCATCGTATAGCAGAGCCATGCAAGCAGACATTCTGGTGGTAGAATTGGGCCTATACTCTTCCTGGAAGCTATGCAGACAGATTCTACTTTACAAGTTGATACAAAAGCAGAGCCAACAGTCTCCACTGGGGTGCTTTGCTGATGCAGCAGAGTTAGGCCTAGTGCTCTCAAGGTCATTTTACAGGGTCAAGTTCGTTAGCTTGTCTCACAAAGTTCCTTCTGTGCCTTTGGATACTTAGGATGGGTGAGTAGCCATCAGGATAAGCCAGGGTTTTCTAGAGAACAGAACCAGTGGGATGGAGATATCTGTCGATTGATCAGGGTACAAACAACACAGCAAGGTAACTAGAGTATTAGACACTGAGGGGCTCAGGAATGCCCTAGGAGAGAGAGCACAAATACAACATTTAAATATACTGTGTGATGGTACACAAATATACCTACTTTGTTTCCTATGAGGAACCCTCTGGAGAAAGTAAAATACATTTGCGACTATCAAGGGAAGGATTTAGATGAAAAATTAACAGTAATTTACTAAAGGTGTATAGATTGCTACATCTAGACAAAGGGTTAAAGACCAAGTCATCTTTGTCTTCTAAAATAGAAGTTAGCTCTCATCTGTTTGGAATGATTGGCTTGTCTGGAAGCCAGGGAATAGACTAGACAATCTCTTAGGGTTCTTTCCAGCCCCGTGATTCTGTGATATATTTATACAACTTCTAGCAGAATCTGTGTATAGTGCCGTGGAAACGTTTCTGATTCCTGTGGTCAGCGTGACCTAGAATATATTTCATTACTTAGTTACTCCAGATTCCTATAAAATTATAAGGCAAGTTTTAAAAACTCAAGGGAAAGGGAAAGATACAGTAGGAAAAACAAATAAGCAATTTCGATGTTAAAGCAAACGACAGCGACAGTTGCCTCTGTGCAGCCAGCTGACCGGGCAGTGACACGCAGAGAGAGCCAGGAAACCGGCATGACAAGAAACCAGGTTTGAGGTAGTTCAATAATGTTTAAAGAAACTCCTTTCCTTATTATATGTATCCTTTTACTAAAGTTTCAAAGTGCATAAAACAAGCGGGGGAAAATATTATTTTAACCTAATATATTCAAGAAATAATTTGTGGTATGAATAGCTCCTCTTCTCGGTAATTTATTAAAGGAAAGGGTTGGGGGAGTGATTTAGGAGACGAGTTGAAGTTTTGAAGTCAGCTCTCGGCGTTACAGTAGAGCTCTGAGAACGTGTTCCCATGGAAACGTGTTCTCTGGACTCAATAACACTCTTACTTCAGGTGCAGAAGAGACTGGCTCCTGTGGGCTGGCCCAGGACTCTCCCCCATGTAGAACATTTATTTTATGAGCAACTGTGATCCAAGTTCCAAACTACTGACTTACAAGTGAACTTTGGAATGGTCTTCACTTGTAAGACTTGAATTATCTCTACTGTTTCATTCATACACCAGGGCACCTCTCTGGCCAGAGTCAAATTCATGGGCATACATACATTTCTCACTAGAGGGTAAATGTCAACACACACACACACACACACACACACACACACACACACACACACACATTCTCTCTCTCTCTCTCTCTCTCTCTGTGTACTAAATTGAAAATTTTATTTAATAAACTAAGACACTGCAGGGATTATTAAAAAGGAAAGGGAATACAGACACCAACTGTTAGAATGCCTATAAAAATCCCATTGCATCTGCCCTTAAAGACATAGAAATACCTCTGAAGTTACTATTTGAGAAAAATCCACCCCAACAGAAAAGCAAGGACAGCTGCTGCAGGCCCAGTGCCGGACCTCTGCGGGGCATATAAAGCAAACCCGTGGTGACATCATTTCATTTACGCTCTAAAACCAGATTTCGATTTCTTGGGCTGGTTTAGATAATCTCTTGGAAAATGGAGACTGCATACAATTTGAAGGATAAGGAACTATTTTCCAGAAGACACGAAGTGTGACTTCCCAAAGGTTCATAACCTCATAACCATCTTTGTTAATGGTCTGATGCTGTTCTTCAGAACATTGCTCTCAGGACAATGAAGGTCAAAGTGTCACAGGCATAGCACAGACGTGGGAATTCACAATTACTTCATTCTTGTTGGAGAAAGGCAAAAATTGCTGGCATGGGAGCCCAAAAGATCAAGAAAGCAAATACTTCCACTATTTTATTTATATTGAAGCTTCTTAGGATTTCAAATTGGAAACAGCATCTGCTCCGTGCTAACTACCTATGCCCACGTGCTCTAGATCACTTTGGCCTCTTAGTCAAAAACAGAATTTCTTTACAGTGTTTTAAACTTCACTTTCCCATTGCTCTTCTCCCTGCCAGTTCTACATCTGGCCGTGGCTATAAAGCAGTGCAACTCTAAGAAATAAAACTCACCAAAAGAAACCAGGTAGACTTGGAAAAGGTCGAGAGGCCACAGGGATCCCTCCCCGGCCTTCCTAAGGCAGGATCAGCCTTTCTTTGCTCAGCGGAAAAGGGTCACCCGTTCATTCTGCAGTAGATCTTGTCATTGTTCCGTCATTCATTCTGATGGCTCTTTACTGGGGACCTACCATTTTGCTGTCTATCGAGCCCCAGACAACACACCAGATATATGTGCATCTTATTTCTAATCCTTTAGGCAACAGCATTAAGAAAGCCTGATCGCCCCATTTTACAGGCAGCAAGTGTTCAGGAGAATGGGGGAGAGGAAAGCTCGAAAGTGAAGTTGGGTCAGATCCTGGAGGACATGGGACACGAGGCTGAGGAATGCGAACGTTATCCGGGGGGCGGCAGGGAGCCATTAGAAAACGATTCTCAACCACGATGGACATCAAAATCTATTGGGACATTTTCACAACACATGTTTCTAGGTCCTACTGCAAAATACTGAGTTCAACGCTCAACGGTGGAACTCAGGGACTTGTGTCTTTGGGGGACAAACTCTTGAGGGGATCCCCACTCACAGTTCTAGTGAGGGGACATTGCATAAACATTCTAATTATTAGAAAGTTTTTCTTTTGCTGAAGTGAATCTGCCACAAAGCAAGAAAAATTCCTCTTTCTCCTGAGAGTCCCTCAAACCTCTGAAGACATCGCATGTCCCTGAAGTCCTCCTGAGTGGTGTCTCCTCAGGAGCCTGCGCATGTATCCTCAGGAAGCTTACTCTTGCTTGAGACCTTTTGGAAAAGTCTCCTCAGAATGACCCTCAGGGTTCCCTGACTTTAGAGCAGGAGGGACATTGTCCGCGGGTATCGGAGCTGTTTCCACTGAACCTTGGAATCAAACCAAAAAATTTTCCAGGTCATGGGGATGCGTTCACCCAGCTCTGCAAACAAGGACTTATCTTGAAATCCTGTTGGCAAAAGCTGAGTCTGTTTGCAGAAATTCTGTTGAAAGAAAAGGGAGAAAAAGAGGTAGAAGCAACAAGGCCTGAAAGTGTAAAGCATTTTCCCCTCTCTTTCCAGCTGTAGCAGGGACATTGGTTTTCTCTGCTCTTCAGACCTGGCCCCTTTGCCTTGCTCATGTCATCCCGCCCCCTGGTGGACATCATCTTCCTCACACGCATTGTTTGTTGCACTGACTACACAGCCCCGAAGGTGGGAAGACCACCCCTTCTCCTACCAGGAGGGCTTCCCCATGGAGGAGGTAGAGGGAAAGGTCACCTAAGCCTACAGCCATCCCCCAGCCTCTGAAGTTAGAGGGCCACAGAGGTCTTCTCTGAGCTACTTCTTATTGGGCTTTGATGTGTTAAAAACATGTCTTTTCTTTCATTGAAGATGTTTTGCCAAATTATAGGACATCTAGATCCAGCTGTTCCTGAAGCACACAAGAATTCAGGCCAGAGGAGGGTCATTACTGTGAGTCCTGGCAAGTATTACCTAAAGAAGTCAAGGGCAAAGTCTTTTTCTAGCTGGCTCTGCCTGTAGAACTGCAGGCAAAGGTTTCCTGCTCTACCTTCCCAGTTAGATTGAAAGCAAAAGATTAGAAACTACTTCCCTGCATATCCTCTGATTATAAATTCTGTTTGACTCTCACCTCTTTTAAAAACCTCAATTCTGTCTCATTCTCAGATGCACTGTGATTTAACTCCTTCCTTAAGATACATCCCAATACATAGTTATCTCTCTCCCTTTTTTTAGCATTTTAAATTCATTCCTGCTCCTGTTATAAGATATGCTGTTTCCTACCTGGAACTTCTAAAAAATATTTTCTCTGATATTTCAATGCTTTTATTTTTTATTATTAATGCTTTCCCACCGGTTATAACTTCCTTTCAATTTTAAGCAAATCACATGAAAGGTAGAAAATTTATATCCCTATAAACCCTCTTTATTCTCCAGACTTATTTTGCTAACCAACCCCTCCCTCCCATTTTAAGGGGTTATATATAGATCACTAACAGTGGGAGTGGTGAGGAGACTGCAGCTCAGTGCTAAAGAACAGGAATTTTGGTGCCAGGCATACTTGGATTTGAATCCTGGCTCCACTTTTTTCTAGCAGTGAGGCCTTCCACCATCTATGTAGCCTTTCTGTCCTCAGCTTCTTGACCTGTAAATGTGGGTGATAATGCTTAGCTCGTGGAGTCATTTGAGGGTAAAATGACAGCATGTGTATAAAGAGCTTCTTAGGTACAGTAGCTTCTAGTTACAGTGCGTAGCCCAGGAACCACTCTAAATGGTAGTTTGTTTGCTGTTATGTCCTAGATGCTGTAACAGTAAAACTGGCAGCTCCACTGGGGTGATGGGTGGACAGGTTTGTCCCAGAAAGGCCGGACTCACTCTGACTTCAATGAACTGTACATTTCCTGGCTCCAAAAATATCTTTCTAATGGGGGCATCTTCATCACATAAACAATTATGGGGTACATGGCCCGTGCAGGTACCTGGGCTTGGTTTTCTGGGGGGTAAATCAAGCCTCACCGCAGCCCTCAGGGAGCTTACAATCTGGTTTGAAGCTAGCGCAAAAACCCAACTATAGTATAACAGGAAAAGTGCATGTCCTGGGAAGTGAAAGAAGGTGACGCCACTTTTAGCCGAAAAGGTTCAAGACCAAGCCCGTTTCCCTGTCTCGTGCAACCGGGTTGTCTCCCCAGCAGCATCCCCATCTCCACGAAGGGGCCTCCCTGTGCGCTCAGATCCGGGCCCTCCTTCCCGGCCACCGCCAGCTGGACGCCAAGCTCAGCAGATAACTCTCCCCTAACGTCCCTGAGCCTCTTCATCCGGCTTTACCTCCACTAACCTCCTTCAGTGGTTCTCGGACATTTATGCCTTAGAATCTCTTGGATGAGCTGAAACCCCAGAGTTTCTTCTAATTCCATGGGTCTTGGGTAGGGCCTGAGAATGTGCATTTCTAACTAGTTTCCACGGGATGCCGATGCTGCTGCTCTGGGGACCACGGTAAGAAGCGCTGTCTTAGTTCATGACTTCATCATTTCCTGTCAGGATTATTGCCTGGTCTTCCCAGCTAAGCTTTCTCTCTCTGATCCTTACCTTTATTCTTCATATTCTTCACCTTGACCTCAGATCTAGGAAAAAAAGAAAATCCTTTCTGACTGTGGATTCCCCACTGGGTAAATGTCAGCATCCCTCATGTGACCTGTAGGGCCCTCAACTACCTGGGTCCTACCTTCCTCTCCAGTCGTGCTGATCCCATGCCTGACCTCTGGCACACGGAACTCCTGGTAGTTTTAATATCCATGTCATTTTGTGTTTTGTCCTTTATATCTGCTGTTCACGCTGTTTGCAAGGCCAGGGGTCCGTTTCTTCACTTGCTAACTCCTCTGGGTCCTTGAAAACCACTCAGCAACACCTTATTGGGGAAATATTACCTCTCCANTCTGCTTGCAAGGCCAGGGGTCCCTTTCTTCACTTGCTAACTCCTCTGGGTCCTTGAAAACCACTCAGCAGCACCTTATTGGGGAAATATTACCTCTCCACCTTCAGGCAGGGATAGGGGCCTCATCTCTGCGCCGTCCACCCCATGGTGGTTATCACGTGATGATACCTGCCCACTAATCCACCTGGTCCACAGACCTGAGCTTCCTGAGAGCAAGNCACGTGATGATACTTGCCCACTAATCCACCTGGTCCACAGACCTGAGCTTCCTGAGAGCAAGAACAAAATATTTTATCTCTATAGCCACAGCCTCAAGCAGTGCATTGCCTGACACAGAGCTGGAAATCAGTGGATATTGAACGAAAGGGGAGACCCGGGAAGGTGCTGTTGGAGGTTGCCATTTTAGTCAAATGTAAAGAGCATTTAAGATTAAGACCTGCAAAGAGAACAGGAAGAATATCCCCGAAGAGGAAGCTTGAGCCTATAGTCAGGCTTGGACATGATGTAAGGAAGGCACAGGGAGGGGTCTCGTTTGGCCACAGGACTGTTGTCTTGAGTCAGATAGCAAAGGTAAAATTAACGTGACTCAGCAAGGGATTGAAAATGGAAATTCAGGAAAGACCCAGATCAAATGTCAGACTAGAGAGAGTACTGTTCACCAGAAACAGACTCTTCAGAGATGATATAAGCTGGTTAAGGAGTAAAAATGGGCCAAGACCAACAGTGTGATTTGAGTCATGGTAGGTTTGGGGACACCATTAGGACACATTCCACTGTCTTGTCTTTAAGTATCTTCCCACTGACCTTATTCATGCTTTGATCTTGGGTTTAGTAAGTGCTCAGTAAATGCTGAAAATCAATGAATGATGAATGATGAATGCATGTATGCAGTGGAATTAGTACAAAGGCCAGCAGTGGTCCTGCCTGAGCCAAGGAAATCATGATTTTGGGTAGCGCATTGCCATCCAGGATGCTGCTCATGCAGATAAGACTCAGGCAGGAACAACAGTGGTAGGACCAAGCTGGGTAACTCAGGTGATGGGCAGCAGGGATTCAGAAGGCCATTACTTGTCACTAGAAATGGGGAAAGTCTTAGTATTTGTGAAAACAACCAAGTGACACCTTGAACAGAATGCCCTAAGCCTGTGCTTGTGGTACTTCCTAAGTGGCTTTACAATTTGCTGTGCAGTGACGAGGTATGAGAGCTGAAGTGAACTCTGACTCCACTGTACTAATGCAATAAACATGAACATTAATACCTTTATTCTGTGTTTAAAGATACGTCTAGAAAGAGTTATGCATTGTCACTGCTAATCCTTCCCCGTGAAATAGACAGCTTTATGACTATTGTGACACTGTTCTCAGAATTTAACCACTGCTGTTCTTCCATTAAGTGTAACACGTTGACATGTGTGGAGGGAATATAACATAATGTTGAATATATGAAAGAATACTTTTACTCGTGACCTGTTTTTCCAGTCTTCTTGTATAATACCAGGGGGATTTCTCATATTACTCTTGTGTGTGCAGCGAAATATCTGCATAAAAATATTCTGGAGATTAAGGCATTAAGTGGAGTTTATATTAAGCATACACACAGTAAAGAGTAATGTTTCTGAGCAGACATCCTCAGGGACCTTTGGTTGTGCTTCCAAATCGATCATTCTATTGGTAGACCCATCAAAAATCAAAACTTGCAATGTGGCCAAGCAAGAAGTTTTATTACCAAAAACAAGCACCAGGGCATGTGGAGGGGGGAATGGAGGGGCTAAACAGTAGGTAAAGAGGCAGAATTCAGTTTCCTTTCACTCTCAAGCGTCGGCAGACCATTACCTACCGGGCCTGCCGCTGACTAACAGAAGCACAGGGTTTTGAAACTGCAAGTCGTTTACTTTTAAAATTCAATTTCATATCTTCAATCACTGTGAGTGTGACTGTCTAACAGAAGGCTCAGGCGTTGACATCCGAGCGTAGTGCCTATAAAGCGTGTACCCGTTGGAGTCCATCTATTTAACAGGTACTTGCTGAGCATGTGTCAGCCTGCGCTAGACATGAGGGAACAAGGCCAGGCCGGGTTCTCTGTTCCCACCGAGACAGCCTGGGGTTCCAGATCCGGTTTTATTGCTGCTGCCACCGTGGCTGACACCTGAATGCCCATTTTTGTTTCCAGTCTTCAACTTGAACTAATTCATAAAATATGAAATGCTGGACTTGGGATGTACCTCTCTCAGTGTGCCTCTTAAAAATTCCACAGTGTGGCCGTTTTGATGGGGCCAATTAGGAAATCTAAGGAAAGGCGAGTTCAGGAAGTCAGGGAGTCATAAGAATGCTTGGAATTTCTAACATTTTACTAAACGTTTTCCGTATCGTGACATGTTCCAGAAGACCATAAATGTTAGTTTATATGAATATAAACTACGTTTTGCCTTGCTGATAACTGTAAATAAGCAATTCAGATGACCACCCACCAATACCCAAGTTTGGGGGAGAGGGCTGTGTTTTCCTATGAAATATTTGCTTTACTGTAAATGTTTATGCTCCGAGAGAAAAATAATGATGTAGTGCCTCATTTTACTCCCACTTTAAAATTCTGCAGAACTAGTTTCAAATATTTCTGCATCTCCCAGGAATATCATTATAGAAATATAAAATAATGATTAATTTCATCTTGATTTGATTTTAATGGAAGGAATTAAAGGCATTTTTCTTATTTGCATTTTTGAACAGCAATACACTGACTTCTCCAGTTAAAATGAATTAATCTGTCACATTGTTTTCATGGTAGCAATCAACTAAATTAAATACAGGACTATAAATCTGGAGAGCACTGTTTAGTTCAGTAAGAAGCGTTAAATAAAGTTCATAAATGTTGCACAAAGCACAGCTGTTTGGCTCTGGTCCAGGAGGCAGTAAGTGAGGGTGAAACGAGTGGGGGAGATAACCTTTAGCTTAATATAGTTGGAAAATTAGATCCTACATATGCTAATTTTGTACTTTTTTTAATAGATGGAACTGATTAAAAATATAAGTACTGCCGAACAGCCCTATTTATTTACTCGACATGTTCATTTCCTCAACTTCTCAAGGTAAGAAATTTTACAGTTTCATGTTTTTTTCATTTCTTTTCAGTACTTAGGCTCCTTCTAACAAACAATTACTTTAAAATCTACCTTCATTTCCAAGGTAGTGTAATTGCCCTTGAGAAAGACATTTTTAATTTTGTTATTTTAGCTATGGAGAGATCAGAATTTGAAATATTTGGGCAAAAGCTTCATTTCTTTCTAGAATACTAATCTCAAATCTTATGAAAAGTTGAAGTTATTTTTAATGAGAAGCCATTTGACCTGATAGTTCTTTTAAAAAAAAAAAAATCAGGTTTTGTATTGAAAGAAAGAACTTGAGAGGTAAGACATGGGTATTTTAACAGAAATATTTCACTGCACATTTTTGTACAATTTGAACCCGCACAGGACTCTGGGAGTGACCTAGTGGAAGACTATCGTGTACTTTATATTCTGTCTGATTATTTTAAGCCCTGCTTGTTTGATACTGATTGGGTATTTTAGGAATCTGCTTTTTCTTCAGCTGCAGGGACTTTCTGATAATAATGGAAATTTTTCAAATTTAGGGTTTTCGACTCTGGATGTATGAAGTTGCTAACTGTGAGTTCTGGGCACTCTCTTGCCCAGGGATTCATTTGCATAGGTTCCCTTGTCACTGTGCTTTGGAGGCGGGGGTACAGGAGCTCTAGAAACAAGGCAAGAATGACAAACTGAACTTTCATACACTACAAGATAGTGTAGTGGGAAGTTAAAAAACATCTTTTTCTTTTTCAAGGGAATAGCTTTATTTAAGGAAAATGTCTCAGGTATAAATGGCAAACTGTGGGCATACAAGTTGGAAGATCTCAGGTTCTTCCTCTCCTCCGACTGGCCCTGGTCTGAGCTCACAGTTGTATCCCACTGAGCACTGGGGACAGATTCACTGACGGACAGGACCCTGGGCCTCCCTCATCAGCCAGCCCACCCGCACTGCCTCAGTTATTCCAGTGGAGATAATGGAACCCCGCAGGCCTAGAGGAGGGACCAGGTTGTCCTGCTGGCTGATGCTGACCTAATGGTCCCCAAGGGCCAGGCACCCAGAGAGTCCCTGAGTGTTGCCGGCTCCTGAGTTCACACTGGGTGGGCACAGCTCCCCCGGCCACAGGAAGCCTAACAACCTAAGGGGGTGGAAGAAGGTTTTAGCCTTCAAAGGGCTTCCCTGCGGTGCAGCAGGCCCAGTGCAAATTAAGTGTAAAGAGAAGATTTAGCAAAGCCCGCTATTAAGCAGCAAAGAGGAGGTGCTGCCTTATCTTTGAAAGCAAGCTTCCCCTGAAGGTCACAGCCTGCCTGATGACCAGGTTCCCTCGGGCAGGGGACAGGCGAATGGGCACCTGGGCTTGACGCTCAGTGGCCCGGGGCCTGGGCACGGAGAGCGGGCGTGTCTCCAACCACATTTCTCTGGTTGCTGGCTACTGGATTGTCTGAGGTATGCGCCCTGCCTCTCACTTCCAGTCGGCCAAGAGCATGCAATTCAACGTAATTAGATAATGAGGCCTTGGGAGCTGTGTCCGGCACTGCCTTTTATGACTTGTACGCAGCCGAGCTCGGCCCCTCTGACCCTTTCTCTTCTCAGGAACTTCCTTCTGCGTCAACCTCCCCCCCCCGCCATGTCCTCCAACCTCATTCATTTCACTCTTGCTTAGGGTCAGATCTTTACAACCAAAACAAATGGCAGTGCAGCAGATTTTAATATGAGCTCAAGACAGTGTAAAAGTCTAACGAGAGCCGAGGCCCCTATCTTAATCGGATCAGCAGAGCTGGGCACAGCGCGGTGGCTATACTTTATCATGGCCTCTGATGTCGAAAACCTGTTTAAGAGTTTCATCTTGATTAGTTTAATTCAGAAAGAAAAAAGTGATAAATACCTTTAGAAGACACCACATCTGCAGAAAACAGCGTTGGCTGGGGTGGTGGGCCTTCTCATGGATCGTGATTCTGGGCAAGCAATGTAACCTCTTGGGGGTCTCTGTTTTTCTACCTATAAAGCAGGGACAGTTCCCGCCCACTACTACCTTGTAAGGATGACCCAAACACATGAGGGGAAGAAAGCCTTTCAGGTTCTTTGGAAAGAGGAATATTCTATGTAGTCAAGTGGCCTTTAAAAGGCATTTGGGCAGGAGTCTGTCTGAGCCCACAGGTGGGCTTCTGCTGTGGGTGGCCTCCCGGTGCCTCTATCTAACGCTTTGAGGGCGGGGTCCTGCTCCTTTTTTTTTTTTAAGCTTTTTATTTTATTTTTTTTTTTGCATTTTATTATTTTATTTTATTTTTAATTTATTATTGTTTAAAATATTACAGATGTCCCTTTTTGGGGCCCTGCTCCTTGCTGATGTCTCCTCTCTCCATTCCATTTTGTTCAATTAAATGCATTTACTGAGGACCCTCTGTCTTCTCCACATGGCCCTGGGCCTGGGGCTTCTGCAGGGGGTGAGAACCATTTTCCCGGCCTTCAGGTGGAAGGCACTGCTAGCAGGAGCCAGTGCTGCTGGGGTGTGAGCGGCCGCTGGGCTCCGGGCAGGTGGAAGGGGAAGGCGTGGGCACACAGGAAGCAGGAGCCAGACAAGCAGAGGGCCTGGGAGCAACCCAGTCAGTGGAGCCAGGGGTTGGGCACAGCCGCAGAGGCGTGGCGCCCAAATTGTACGCAGGAAGAGGTAGAGACCGGCCTGGTGGCTTTGCTCCTTTAACAAGTTCATGCTAACCGTGGGAACAGCCTCCCTGCCTCTTCTCACCCCACGTGCCCAAGCTCTTAGGTACAGACCTCCGGCAACAGGGCAAGAATGACAAATTGAACTTCCATACTTTACAAGATGATGTTATACTCAGAGAATGTGGGAAGTTAAAAGGCACCTTTTTTCTTTTTCCAGGGAATAGCTTTATTTAAGGAAAATGTCCCAGGTATAAATGGCCAACCGTGGGCATACAAAGAAAACCTCAAAATACACAATTAGAGAGAAACAACTGAGATGGGGCTTGTTAAGAGGGCTTCCCCGTGTCTTTAAAAATGAGTTCTATTATTTTTCTTTTATTTGTTTTTTTAAAGTTTCTTTATCTTCATTGTTGAAAGTATTACAGATGTCCCCTTTTTACCCCCATTGATTCCCTCCACCCAGCATCCCCCCCACCCCCAGGCCTCCCCAGACCAATGTCTGTGTCCATGGGTTATGCTTATAAACATATAAGTTCTTTGACTAATCTCCCTCCATCCCTCCTCCGTCCCCACCTTCCCTCTGAGATCCCTCAGTCTGTCCCATGCTTCTGGATCCATTTTGTTCTATATTTTGAACTGTAAGGCATAGAGATAATTAACTGCTCCTAATAAGCCTATCCTGATCATTGCTCACGGGCATGTGGCTGGCTTGTTTCAAGATAATGAGGTTATTAAGAGAAGAATTAACACTGCAACCCAATATATTTTGTTGCTATTTTATTTCTCATCTTTCTCATTTTCTTAGCATGTAGCGAGGTTCTTGCTGGTGAGCAGAATATAAGAATGAAAGTCTAGCCTCTCTCCCCACACATTCTTTTGCACCCAGATTTTCTGGACTTCTGAAGTCCAAAATGAATCGCTCCTTAATTCTTTTTCCCCCATTAATGATGGCATTACCTTGACATTTAGACACTCTGAGAAATGCTATCCTGTGAGCTTCTGGCTATTTAATAGCTGACTTATTTCATTTATTCATCTTTCTCTGTCCCTCCTTTCTTTTTATTTTAGGGCTAGAAGGAACCATTTCACCATATCCAGTTTTATTAATTCAACCATGGAAAACAGTACTCAGACCAAACTACTGTTTTTGTAGCTACATTGGGGAAGCTTTCATGCCAGAGGAGGTAAACACAAGCACAGCAGAAACTTCAGACATTGGTCTGGGTTTGGGAAGTCTCCCACGGTAGTGCTCTTTCACACAGGCCAGACAAATGTTTTCCACCCAGACTACCTGGAGAGTTGAGTCCAAATTACCTTGGTCTAAAAGGTGCAACTCTTTCCTGTGATGTTTAAGGAGGAATTTTATTATTTGCATACTGTAGTTTCATGTGTCTGTTCCCAGTTGTTAAAGTAACTTCAAGAACTATAATTTTTGAAAAGGTCCCACTTCCCAACATCAACAGTATCTCTCTAAGTTTGTCTTAGATCGACACACTGGAAAGAATGTGACAGGCAATTCAATTTGTCTCCCCCCTACCCCCACTTTTTATTTGTTTGCTTTCCAAACTTTTGGGGAGGAGACAGTAATTCTTTTTCCAATTCACAATTCTCCTCAACCCCCAATTTGGATCTTGCAGGGAAAACTTTGTGAAGTTTTGTGTCAGAGCTCAATGCTATCAAAATAGTCCTAGTGAATTACAGGCGATATCAATACAACTAAATAGTTTCAAACTACCACCTCTCTCAGCCTTTCTCATGTCATTCTTCCTTTCTCCCCCTGACCCCCTGACCCCCTCACCCTCCTTTGCTTCCATTTCTGTTTCATCTTTTGTCTCAGATGGTGGCTCCAATACCAACACTGACTTGCAAAAGCAAAACATTTAAAACTAAATCAATCACTAGGGAAGCAGGCAGGGCACACTGTGCAAGGGGCGGCGTTTTGGACACACTCTCTCTTTCCTTAAAGGGAAGTCTTGATTATTGATGTGAACAGTGTCTGCCCTCTGATGGCATTATTTAACAAAACAAATCAGATCTTGCAAATTCTATTACTCAGTCGTGTTTCCACATCTTTGTTCTAAATGTTGATTTTGTTTTTATTCTCATTAGTAAAGTGATCCATTGAAATCCTGTGCCCTGCAGCTCTTCTGTAGTGGTGATAGAAGGTGCAAACATTGAAGACAAAGTTACTGAACACTCTCTCAGCCTACTATAGCAGAGCCCAGAGATTGGATTTGAGAGTGAGACGTTTCTTTTAGTTTATCCTACTTAAACACTGTGAAACCACTCTTCTTAGAATGGCCCCACTTCCTCACTTTGCTCTTCTCACTCTGCAGTGAGTGCACTTCTGTTGCCCCTGAGCCCTTGGCTTGGCTTGGGTTGGCCCGTTAAGGATTAGCATGACCTGGACTTGCGCTGAGTTCACCCCCCTGCACTCAAGGAAGGGCCTTCTTCCTGGTCATCTGCTTACCAAGTCATCTCCCTCTCTGAGCAAGAACCCTAACTCTAGGGCCTCAACTGTCCCCCTCCCTTCACCACGTTTGTCTTCACTTCCTACTGAGTGAATGTTCCCACCCCATCCAGGGAGCAGAGTAGCTCAGTCTCTTCTGCTTGTGCTTTGTGATGGGAGGCCCTGTCCTGGGCAGCCAAGACCAAGTGTCCACTCATTAGGGTTGTGAGGATGGAGGGTGGGCTTCCCACCCCATGTGTGGTACATGATTGGGATTAGCTTTCAGCAAAGGACCATTCAATAACCATCTCTACCCTCCTCCCACCCCAGGCAGCTCCTCACCTGCCCCCTAGTCATCTCCCTTCTGGTGCGGGCTTTTCTCTCACTTCCAAGTGTCTCCTCCCTCATCGACAGAGATCAAAGCTGTGGACTGTAGGTGACAGGGCAAGGATAACTGGGACTCTCCAGCCAGAGGCTAAAAAGGAGATATACTTTGGGTGGAATGGTGGTTACCAGGGGCTGGGGGGAGGGGCAAAGGGGGCCAGCTTATTGTTTAATGGGCAAAGAATTTCTGTTTGGGATCATCAGACCTTCCAGAGATGGGTGTTGATGAAAGCGGACCTAAATTCTTACCCAAGTGCTTCGTGCAGCTGATGGAAAAGGTGACTAATGTTGCCTGTGAGTTGATCAATTGAGGCAGTGTGTGGGACAGAGGGTAAAGGAAACCACAGAGTGAGATATTTAAAAATGCATGAAGAAAAATGAGAACCATGCAGATATTATTTCTGGAATTATATGGTGCTTTGGATCTTTCTGTTCTCATCAAAAAAAAAAAGGAAAAAAGAAAAAGAATATGGTAAATTTGCCAAGGGTCAGAGGGAGACCCACAGGGGTAATTAAAGCGTCAGTGAATGTGACCTACGAACAAAGAAATGTCAAAGAAACTGGACATACCTGCTATTTTAGGAGGACTTAAAAGAGAACTTCAAATATGTAGTCGTTATTGTGGTGACCAAGGGACAAGAGGGTGTGTTGTTAAGTGAAAACCAAAAATACGGCCTCCCTCTGCTCACTCGTGTTCGAACAACCCAGAGCCTGTCATCAGCTGTGGTCACAACAGTTTTAGAGCTTGAAAAAGACCAAATCAGGGGCATAGATTACATTTGGGAAGGAAGCAAGTCTCATAACAAACACTAAAGGAATTTTAAAAAGACAGACAGACACACACACACACACACACACACACACACACACACACACACACACACAGAAGTTAAAGGAATTAAAATTGAAGCCGAAAAGGCTAAAAGTTGTAAAAGCTCGTGAAGAGAAGCTAATTGTTTGTGTGGAGTGGATCAAACAGAAGGAAATGCGTGCAAAAGGCAGGTTAGGAATCTGGGGGGAGTGTAACAAAGACTCCTCGCGGTGGGCTGGCCCATAGGGTGGACTTCACCGGGAGGCTGTGGAACCTTCTCTCCAGGGTTTGAACAATAAGGCCGTGGGGTGTGGGGGGTGGGGCGTACAAAGCTTTCTCCCTCCAGAATGGAACTAGCAGCAGGCAGTAGGTTCAGGCAACTCAGAGACCTTCTACAGGTGACCAGGAATTCTGATTAGAATTTAAAAATCACTGAGAGGTGCAGCTGACCCTGAGAGAGAATGGACTGAGGGTGCGAACTTTGTTTCTCTCCTGGGGCACTGAGACACAGAGCAGTGGCTTCCTGGCCTCTTTTGTGTAACTGACATGCCACCCCCCCACCCTGATTTTGACAGTTTGGGTGGGAGCCATATGTCTTAGAAAAAAAATGAGAATTAGGAGGCTGAAACTATTATCACTGTTGCTTTCTGGAAAGGAGGAGGTATCTGTCAGACACCTCTCTCACAGAAATTTCTAGAGATAGCCCGGCTGATGTGGCTCAGTGGTCGAGCATCGACCCATGAACCAAGAGGTCTCAAGCGGCTCACCTACTCCCTGCCTCAGTTTTCCCGGGTGTAAATGGGGATAATTATGGTTTCTATCTACTAAGGTGTTGTGAGGCTGCAGTGAGTCGGACACATAAAGTATTCACGAGGTGAACAGTGAACGTTTAAGCGATGTTGACTCCTTTAATGCACTTTGGGCAGGGCCCTGGCCTGAGACTCAGCTGGAAGTAGGATGCGTCCTGCTTACCTGAAAGGCAATCAGAGCTTAGCAGTCAGTTCACACGTTCCCTGAGGACCAGCCAGGCGTCTACTGGGAGTAAAACCCCAGCAGAGCCCGGTCGGCTCCCCAGAGCCTGCAGCCTAGTAAGAAAGCAAGACGTCTCCCCCACGTTGACCGGTGCTGCGTGTTCGCAGCGCTGCCCTGCCCGGCAGCACAGGCCTCGCGGCCTCTCCGCAGGCCCCTGGGCAGCCGCTTTCTGCCCGATCGTAAAATGCCACCAGGGAAGGGCTTGCAGGCCGCATTGTTTCCTGGTAGCTTAGCGGACGGGGTCACCTGCTGACATGTTAGCCGAGAGGGAGACGGTGTCTGTCTCAGGGGTTTCTTTCCGTCCAGAAGTGATGGGTTGTAACCGGCTCCGTGTCCGTGTGCTTGTCAGGTTTGGAGGAGACCAGCCCGTCTACATCAACATCATCAGAGACCCCGTCAACCGCTTCTTGTCTAACTACTTTTTCCGTCGGTTTGGAGACTGGAGAGGGGAGCAGAATCACATGATCCGCACGCCCAGCATGCGGCAGGAGGAGCGCTACCTGGTGAGTCCCCTGGCGGCCAAGAGGTGGTCGCTGTCCTGTCCTGGAGCAGCTCCTCGGGGGGACGCTCTCCCTGCCCGCCCGTGGCATTCCCGTGGCACCTCCACGGAGCCCCGTGTGGCCAGAGCTCTTCCTCGGGGAGGAAATTTGTGCCAGGGAAAAATTGTTCCAGACGACCCAGATCCGAACGAACATTTCCAGTGACTCTAATCTCGTTTTCTTGGTTTGTCTTTAATGCTAGAGTTTAGGTCCCAGTGAAGAAATAGTCTTTCCTGGGGAACTCTGAGCCTCAGGGTTGTCATTTAGGTGTGTTTGGGCATCGCTCTCGGAGGGTCACGAAGCATATTCTCAGACCCCGTCCCTCTCAGTTCCCATGGCAACCCTAGGAGGGAGGGGCGCTTTCAGGCGAGGACCCTGAGATTCCTCAGCGATGTGGGACTTGCCGTAGTCATGCCTCTGGTAAGGGCGCAGCTGTAACTGACTGTCTCTGGGGCCTCTTGAATTCCCATCCTGGGTTATCCCACCCCAGCACAACAAAATCGGGCCACTTGGCAAAAATGGTTCACTTTTCTGCGCCTTGTTTGGGATGCTCAGCTCCAGATGGATGTGGGTTTTGACCTCAGTCATTGTTTCCAGGGCGCAGCATTGGTAACAAAAATAGAGGCCAGGCTTCTGCATCTTTCCAACAGCACACTTCTCACCTATTTGTGACCTAAATTGACAAAAGCTTACTGAGTAGCTGAGAGCCTGGTGTTAGGGAGGCCGAAATCCTCATCTCTGGGGGTGAGAGAGCCCCCTGGGGTCACGCAGACCCATGCTGGTCTGTGGGCACAAACGGGGAGGGGAGGGAGTTACGGAGGGATCGGTGCTCAGCGCAGAGCCTGCACCCCTGCTGAGGGGGCTGTGGCTGTGTCCCTCTCGCTGAAGAAGAGCAGCATTAGTCACAGTTCCCGTACAATGTCGAAACTTCTATTTCCTGACTTAATTTTTAAAGATGTAATAAAAGTATATGTTAGGAGGATGGGAGCACTTTTGGATGACGCAGGGAAGTGAAGAGTCTTATCCAGTGCTGCACGGAGTTTGTGAATGAGCCGGGAGCAGGAACCAAGGCCTTTCACCCACCACTCAGTATTTGCTCAGCTGCCTAATGCTTCAATGAAATAGTTCGATGGCATATTTTAAAAGTGATTTTTAGTTTTGATGGCAAAACCCCTAATCTTTTTCTTTAAACTACATGTCATATATGTCTGTATATTTCCTATTCAGTGACGAGTAAATATTCAGAGCACAGAGCCACTGGCTAGAGGGAGTATGTTGACTCAGACTATCTTTCTATTTCTGCTGGATCTTGATTAGCATTCACACCATCGTCTAAAAGCATAGAGCATATTCCATTTAATTAAAATATATTTCAGCCTGGCCAGTCTTGCTCAGTGGTTGAGCGTCGAGCCATGGCACATGCCTCGGTTGCAGGCTTGATCCCCACTGGGGGCGGGCAAGAGGCAGCCGATCAATGACTCTCTCATAGATGTTTCTATCTCTCTCTCCCTTCCTCTCTAAAAAGAATCAATAAAAACATATTTTTAAAAAATATATACATATTTCAAAGTTTCTGACTCAATCTCGGTACTAAGAAAGTTAGAACCAAGTTATAGCAGAAGATGCTTTGAACCAAAGACATGGAAATGAGTCTGATGAATCCTGCTCTTCAAGTATTAATGTAGGTAGGATCGCTTCTTGGCCTTTTGGCTAAGATCAAGGGTAGTATTTGTTCTTACCAGTTTAATGTAGGTAGGAAGTAAATTCTCAGTCTGCCAGAAGGTGAAAGTGATTTGGAAAATGAGAGAAAGTAGAGGGACCTTCCAGGGATCCAATGCCTGAGGGGTGGGGAGAGCCTGTTAATAAGGAGGTCAGGGAAGTCATGGAAGATGTGACGTTTGAGCAATTATCAGAATGAGAGATGAAGTCGGTCACTGGTCAGCTGGGGGACTATAGCTCCAAGTGGAGGGGCAGCTGGAGCAAAGGCCTGCAGTGGGCACATGGCATGTGTGGCTCACTCAGGCATCAGCTGGGAGAGCAGCATGGCTGGGAGAGCAGGGAGGGGGGGAGAGAGCCAGGTGGCAGGAGGTGAACTGAGAGAGGTGAGGGCTGGAGGCAGCAGAGAGTCACTGCAGTTGCTCTGAGTGGGTTGAGAAGTACCAATGAATGGCCCCAAACTCAACACATGGTAATCAGTGACTCTTTCTCCTGAACCTGAGAAAGCTGAGCCCTTCTCACAGCAGGAAATACATCGTCCCATCACTCTCAGCAGTTCTCTGCCTTCTCTCTAGGAGTCAGGACTCCTCCCTACTTCTCTAGAGCTATATGTCACTGACACCTGGATGCTTGCCCTGAAGCCTCACAAGGCTCCTCACACTCCCAGGTTCCAGGGGGCTCCACAGAAATGTGATCTGTGAGATGGTGACCCCACAGTCATGCAGGGCACAACCTATACCGCTGTATATGGAGGTCCTGATGTTCTTCTGTGCTCCCCCCAAGCTCCGTGCTGGTTCTGTCACTTCTCCTGGTGACATAGTGTCTTAACTTCTCTCCTTTCCTCCCAACAGTCTATCAGCTCTTTGAGGACAAGTTAGGATCAGAGTTCCATCTATGTCCCTTGTACCCAGATGAGGGGCTAAAATACTGAAGAGCCTAATAGCACTCTACTTAGCCAATAAAATAAATGACAACAACAGAATAGGAATGCAGGAGTTGAGAGAATTCTCTAGATTTTTCTACCCTGTCAAGTTTTACCATTCTTTAAGTCACTCCACATAACATAGTCTTCACACATTCACACGAACAAGGAGTTATAATCATAAGCCAGAGAAGTTGTAGACATAAGAGGAAATACAATGGTTTGGATTTTTTTTTTTGGAAGCCCCTAGAATGTTGAGAGTTGGTAGGGAAGGCAAGTCTTCTATTTTTGAGGAGCCGGTAGCTGCCTTTATGGTGCAGTGCGATTTGAGAGATCTCGGGAAATGTCCCCACCTGGAGTTCTACCCTCAAAGAGATTTGCAGGGGCCCCTTCCCAAGTATAAGAACTGAATCCTGGGAAGGGCCTATGTCAGATGAGCTCCGCAGATCATTCCTTGGCAAGACCTCAGCAGGAGAGCGGTGGGCTCCCTAAAGAGGGAGAAACCAGGGAGCAGGGAGTGGGGGAAGCTGAGGGACACGTGACTCCTTTATGATCTGGCCCCAGCCTGACCGGGTTAGGAAGCTGTTTTTTCATTCAAAGGATAGTTTGTTTATTTGGAAGAAGACAGTCTATTGCCTTTTCTTTTTTAACAGATGAAACCTTTTATTTCATCTCCTTGGTCCCATTAAACCTTTGAAATAAAACTGCCCCCTTTCAGAGCCTGTCCTCATTTTGGCAAGCCTGGGTGGTCAGTTGTTTGCCACAAAAGAGGGTGTTGTTTGTGTCTCACTGGGGTGCAGGGCAGCTGTGAGGAGACCACTGTGCCCTCGGTGAGGCCCTGCTGGGGTCGAGGGCCTGAGAGGGTATCCACAGGGTGTCGCCTCTCCCAGGGAGGCGGGCATGGCAGGCCACCCCCTCGGGGCACTGTGCCATGAGGCCTCTCCCTGCACACTGCATGCACACAGAGTCACGGGTGCTGGCCTGAAACAGGTCTACTGACATACCCGCATTATTCCAGATCTCAGCACTCTGAAGCCACTCGCTTTATCCAGTTGCCAAAAATCAGGCAGTTCTGCTCCTGGCCCCAAGCCTCGCAGAGCTGCTTAGCATACAGCTGAGAGAGGGCCAGGGCCTCTGAGCCCGCTCTGGGGGAGAAATAATACCATCTTGTGATGCTGGGTCATTTGGAAGAACATAGAAAGGGGTGAAGGGATCCCAGGATTTGCAGGGTCATGAAGAGACTTGTTTCACAGGTGCAGGAATGGGCCTGGGTGGAGGGGTGGCCTCAGGGCCCTGCCAGGTGTAGAAGCCTGGCCTCCTGATTCGACACCTATATTGTTTGATCACTTGGACTTTATGTTTTACTTCCTGAATGGTAAAGGGAGATGAAGACTGGGCCAAGTTCCATGCTTTTTGAGCAAAATCATTTTGTCTGACATCGTCTGTACATCCCTACAAAGACATAGATGTTATAGCAATCGTTTTTTTCAAATATGCAAGCATCTTACAGCTATTCCCCATATTTTCTGGAAACAATTAGATTTTCTAAAAGTCTGCATTTCTTTCCATACCATTCTTGATTTGTATTTACAAAAACAAAAACAAAAAAACCTTAAATGATTTCTTGCTAGAATGGATACTGATTCAACTTCCAGTAGCCACACTGTGGAAAGGTAGTTCTCCCATTTCTCCCTGTTCAGAGCCGGCAGCCTGGCCCTGGGTGTGGAGCTGGCTGCCTCCCCTCTTGGGGCCGCCTGGCCAGGTGAGGCAGATCTGAGCCCAGGCACACTTGGATCCGCCCCAGCCGGGAGCCTCTTCTCCAGCTGCAGCCCAGGCTTCTTTATTTCCAGGGCTGGGAAATACCTGGCGCACAGAACACAGCCGATGAAAGAATGAATGACCGCTAATGCAAAGCAACTGTTGTGATTTAGGAGCAAGGGAGAGCATCTCATTCCCGCTGAGGCCACTCCCGTCCCGGGTCACCGAGTTTCCCTGAAAATGGCTTTCTCGCTCTGCCCTTCAAACGCAGTCAGTTACAGGTGTGGTTGGTGTTTTCTCTTTGCCTGAAATCCCCAATTTAGGAAGGAAATGCCAAAAAATGTCAAGGTGGGCTGCTTACCTGACCCTACTGCCACTTGTCTGCATGATCTCCATTGGAAGAGCTGGAAGAGAGAATATTTTTGCAGGGAGAACACTGCCACTGTGATACTGTTTATCCGGCTTGGCTATAAAGATGGAAAGAAATGCATGTGTAAAAGAAGCAGTGCGTAATTTACAGCTCCTTAATTCATAAAGAATTCAGTGAATCATGTTGGACCAGTTGGAT